TTCCTGCTGCTCCTTTGCAGCCACACCCTTCCTCCAGTCCTAACCCTTGGCAACCACTCACTGATTTGTTCTCCATTGAGAGTTTTGCCTTTCCAGAATGTCATATAATGAAGTCATATAGTATGTAACTTTTTGGGAGTGTCTCTTTCACTCAACTGTATTTAGCCTTTGAGATTCACTCATGTTGTTGCATGTATTATAGTTCAATCTGCCCAGCCGGTGTGGCCCAGTGGATTGAGTATTGTCCCATGGATTGAGAGGTCCAGTGTCCGATTCCCAGTCAGGGCACATGCCTGGGTTGTGGGCTCAATCCCCAGTAGGGGGCCTGCAGGAGGCAGCCAATTGATGTTTCTCTCTCACATTAATGCTTCTCTCTCTCCCTCTCCCTCTAAAAAATCAATTAAAATGTATTTAAAAAAAGAAAAATGGGAATACTAGAAAGCCCTTAAAAATAGTTCAATCCTTTTCATTACTGAATGGTATTTTACTGGTTATTGTCTGTTTTATCCATTCACTTGTCAAAAACCATTCCAGTTGTTTCCAGATTTTGGCAATTATGAACAGACCTACTATAAACATTCCTGTACATGTTTTTGTGTGACCATGTTTTAATTCCTTTAGAATGAAATGGAGTGGGATTGCTAGGGCACATGGTATGTATATTTTACTTTATTAAAAAATGCCAAACTGTTTTCCAGAGTGGCTGCATCATTTTGCATTCCCACCAGCAATGCAAGAGAGTTTGTTGCTTCATATCCTTGCAAGCAGTTGGTATTATCACTTCATTTTACCCATTCTATTGGGTGTGTAGGTATTCTCTTTATTCTAATGAATATCTCATCATGATTTTAATTTGTATTTCCCTGATGACTAATGTATTGAGCATCTTTTCATGTGCTTATTTGCCATCATTACAGCTTTGCTGATAAAGTGTTGAAGTCTTTCAGCCATTTTTGAAAAAAAAAAATATTTTTTTATCCTCACCTGAGGACATTTTTCCATTTTTTTGTTCAGACAGAGTGGGAAGGAGAGAGAGAGAGAAATATCGACGTGAAAAGGACACAATGAGTGGCTGCCACCTGCACGACCCAACCAGGGGTGGGGACAAACTGCAACTGAGGTACATGCCCTTAGTGGGAACCAAACCTGGATCTCTCTGGACCACAGGCCAGTGCTCCAACCACTGAGCCAAACCGGCCAGGGCTGTTTTTTGCCTTGATGTTGAGTTTTGAGAGCTCTTTATATATTCTGGTTAGTTTTATTTTAGACAGGGATTTACACATTTTTTCCCATTCTGTAGTTTGTCTTTTCTTTCTCTTCATGTTTTCTTTTCTTTCTTTCTTTTTTATGTTTTCTTTCTTTTCCAAAGCAAGTTTTGAATTTTGATGAAGTTCAACTTACCACATTTTTTTTTTTTTTTAATCCTCACCCAAGGACATTTTTCCATTTTTTGTTCAGATAGAGTGGGAGGGAAAGAGAGGAAGAGAGAGAGAGAGAAACCTTGACGAGAAAGGGATACATCAAGTGGCTGCCTCCTGCACGACCCAACCAGGGCCGGGGACAAACTGTAACTGAGGTACATGCCCTTAGCAGGAACCGAGCCCGGGTCTCTCTGGACTGCAGGCCAATGCTCTAACCGCTGAGCCAAACCAGCCAGGGCCCACATTTTTCTTTTATGAATCATATTTTGGGTGTCATATCTAAGAACACTTTGTTAACTCCAGAAAACTAAGATTTCGTCCTATGTTATCTTCTAAATAGTTTATAGTTGTGCATTTTATATTTATATCTTTCTTCTTGGATCAGTTTTGGTAGCTTGTGGCTTTTGGGGAATTGGTCCATTTCATCCAAATCGTTGAATTTATGTTTGTTTTATTCCCTTACTTAAAAAAAAAATTTTTTTTTTTCCTTTATTGATTTTAGAGAGGGGGGGAAGTGAGAGGGAGAGAGATATAGAAACATCAATTGGCTGCCTCCTGCATGCTCCCCACTGGGGATCAGGCCCACAACCTGGGCATGTGTCCCAACCGGGAATCAAACTGGTGACCTTTTGGTGCATGGGTCAACACTCAACCACTGAGCCACACTGGCCGGACATATTCCCTTACTTAAAAAAAAAATTATTTTGGCTCTGGCCAGTTGCTAAGTGGTTAGAGCATCAGCTCATGGACCAAAAGGTCATGGGTTTGATTCCTGTCAAGGGCATGTACCTCGGTTGTGGTTCAATCTCCAGCTCTGGTTGGGGTCGTGCAGGAGGCAACCCATCAATCTCACATCAGTGTATCTCTTTCACATCAATGTTTCTCTCTCTCTCTCTCCCTCCCACTCTGAAGATAAAATGGAAAAATATCCTTGGGTGAGGATTAAAAAACAACAACATTGATATGAGAGAGACACACTGATTGGTTGCTTCCTGCAGGACCCTGACTGGGGTTGGGAATTGAACCTGCAACCCAGGTACATGCTCTTGACCAGGACTTGAACACTCAACCCTTTGCTCTGAGGGCCAACACTCTGACCACTGAGCAAAACTGACCAAGGTGAAAAATGAACTTTTAATATAGTGAAATTTTAAAAAAAATGTTTTTATTGATTTTTTTAGAGAGTGGAAGGGAGAGATAAATTGATGTGCAAGAGAAACATCGATCAGCTGCCTCCTGCACACCCACTACTAGGAATGTGCCCTGACCAGGAATTGAACCAGGACCCCTCAGCCCATGGGACAATGCTCAATCCACTGGGCCACATTGGCTGGGCAAAAACTGAAGTTTTAAAAAAAAATGTCTTGATTGATTTTGAGAGAGAGAAAAACACCGATTTATTGTTCCACATATTTATGCATTCATTGGCCAGTTCTTGCATGCGCCTGTCCAGGAATCAAACCTGCAACCTTGGTGTATTGGGACAACACTCTAACCAACTGAGTTAGCTGACCAGGGCAGAAAATTGAACTTTTTATCATTACGTAATGTTCTTTACCCCTGGTAACTTTCTTTGCTCTGAAGTTAATTTGTCTGATATTACTATATCCAATTCAGCTTTCTTCTGATTATAGTGTTTACATGGTATATCTTTCCCCATCTTTACTTTTTGCTGTGACATCGTTTTTAAAAAAATGTTTTTATTGATTTCAGAGAGAGGAAGGGAGAAATTGAAATATCAATGAGAGAGAAATGTTGATCAGCTGCCTCCTATATGCCCCCTACTGGGGATTGAGCCTGCAATCCAGGCATGTGCCCTAACTGGGAATCCCCCCCCCCCCCAAACTGATGACCCCCTGGTGCAAGGGACAATGTTCAACCAATTGGGCCACAACCAACCCAGCATGTGACATCTTCTTTTAAATTGATTTTTATTCTTACTGAGAGCACTCACTGGTTGCTTCTTGTATGTTCCCTGAGCAGAGATGGAACCTGCAACATTGGCTTATCAGGACAACACTCTAACCGAGCTACTCAGACAGGGCCACCCATCCTTTTACTTTTAACCTATCTGTATCATACTTAAAAATGGGGTTTTTGAAGGCAGCATATAGTTGATTAAAGAACTTTTTTCCCCCTTTATTGACTTTAGAGAGAGAGGAAGAAGGAGTTCCTTCCTGCTCCTCAGGTCTGCAAGCGGGCTCCCAGAGCTCTTTCAGCTCACACCTGATGTACATTTCTGGTTTTGGCTGCCTTTAAGCCCATTCTGGGTGATACTAGGGAAAGGAAAATGGTAAACTCACCACTGGTTTAGTGGAACTCTGAACTCTGGTTTCTCTCTCCCTGCTGGCATTTACTTCTCTGAGCTCTCAGGTAGCTGCTCCATGCATTCTGTCCAGGAGCATGGGCAACGGGGAGGTGTGCCTTCTCCACTTACAATGTGTGGTCCTGGGCAAACTGCATGACATCTTTGCACCTCTTTAGTTATCTTTAGCAGCAAATAATCATTGTATCAATATGAGAAGGGTCTTGTGTAAATGAAATGGTTATATCTATGAAGCACTTAGAATAGTGCTTGATCATAGTATTTACAAATACTAGCTTTTATTATTAGCAATTAGCATAGAAAGATTAGAAGATAGGCAAAAAGACAAAAATTACCCACAATCACAATGCCCAAAAGTGTAACATTATGGTTTATATTATTTCAGATTACCAGTCAAGAATTGATTAAATGGACACATTAATAAGTTCAAGTACTGGATTGTAGTCCCTGCCCCAACTTCCAAATTATGCATTTCATATTAGAGGAAAGGCAGTAGGTCACAGAATAAAACCTTTATTGCCTCCAGCCCTTCATCCCCACTATTTCTCCCGTTCCAAACGCTCATCTTCCCTCCCTTGTATTCAGTTACTGCAATTTGGGCTTCCAGTTTCAGTTGAAAGGTCACACCTCATGGAGTTTCCTGAATCCAGGCAAGACGTAGATGCCAGTTAAATGCTTTCATGTGACCCCATACTTCTTAGCACTTATCACACAGTTATATAACCATATACATAAGAACTTCAAAGGACAGGACAGGTCCTCTAGTCCTCTCTTGTCCTGTACTAGTTTTGCCTTTGCTCATCCTTCTCTCCCAGATGGTGACCCTGGGCCTCCTTACCTGTCCTCCAAGGCCCTGCAGTAGAAGCTTTTTCAACACTAATCTAGGCAAGTCTGCTTATATAAACAGGACTTCACAGTTCAGAGTGGAGTCGATGCAGGAAATGAAGGAACATTTGCACTCTACATCCTGGAGATTCTAATTTAATAGGAACTGGGGCAAGTGGGGCCCAGGAATATGCATTTTCAAAAGCTCCCCTATTATTCTGATGGCCCACAGAAACACTGCTGTGGTAGGAAACTCTTGATGTGGCTTCCAATGATGCTTGCCTTTTTCTTTTTTTTTAAGCTAGGAATCTTTTTTTAAAAATATATTTTAATTGATTCTTAGAAACATCAATGTGAGAGTATAACATTAACTGGCTGCCTTCTGCATGTCCCCTACCAGTGACGAAGCCTGCAAACCAGGCATTTGCCCTGAATGGGAATTGAACCCGCAATCTTGGTGTATGGGATGATGCCCAAACAAGCCACACCAACCAGGGCAATCCATGCCTTCAGATAGTCACTAGGCTGAATCTAGTGACTGGTAAAAGTGACAGAATGTCTCTTCTGTGCTGAGGTTACAAAAGATTATTATTTCACCTTGCTGATGTGGTCTCTTGCTTGGATGGAGAGGGCTACCTCAGTGGCCTCTGACCAAGTCAGCCAGGAAATGAGCTCTTCATTCCAACCACCTATGAGGTAGTGAATCCTGCTAACAATCACTGAGTGTGCTTGGAACCAAGTCTTTCCCATTGGAAACTTGAAATAATATGGCCCTAATTAACACTGATTGCAGTCTTGTGAGACCCTAAAGCAGAACACTCAGCTCAGTTGTGCTGAGTCCCAAAATAAATGTGTAGTTTTAAGCCACTAAGTTTTGGAATAATTTGTACACAGTAACAGATAACTAATACACTGCCTAGACTTGCCTCTCTAAACACCATCCAAGTTGGAAGATGTACCATACCTAAGTGGAGATTTCTTCTCTCTTTAACACAATGTCATGCAATACTGACTGTAGACATTGTCTCTGTTCTTCTTGTGCATAGAGGCATATATCAGTCCAACTGCCATTTTTAGCTTCACAGACTTTGGCTTAATCTTTTAAGTATCATGTGTTTCACGGGCATGAACTCTGAATTCTCAAAGCAAGTTCTCTTCTTCCTCCTCTTACCTACCATAGTGGTCCAGCCCCAAGGCCATATAAGATTGTTGTACAGTAGGGATGAGTGTGTGAGTGTGCAAGTGGTGATAAGATTTTTGGTTGGGAAGATTTTCTTGGTGCCCTGGGCTTAGTTATACATAGAATCCTTAAATCCGGAACCAAATTTCATGCTCAAAAACAGCTCACAAATGCTCTGCTCCCTCTTCTCCATGCCTTGGTAGCCAGGAGCCCATTTTTGCAAATCAAAGACAAATTGCATTTGAATGTTCTTGGGGCTGTGAATGGTCCTCCTCCTTCTTTGGCTATTAAGTCAGGCAGTCCCAGCCCAGCCCACACTAGACTTTAGAGCCATCACTAAAGAATGGAACTAGAGGTCAGGAAGTTATGGAGACATTAGCTGGAACCAGCTTGCAGGAAAATGAGATACTAAGTTCAAGAGAAACACTGGGACATGAGCAGAGGAAGGGGAGACAGGTTTAAAGCACCAGGAATGAGCAGCTTCTATACATTGGAGGGGATTGGAGGAAGAAAGGGTTTATTTCAGAGGCAGAGACAGAATCAAGATGCAACAGGCTCAACATGCCTGTCTAGGAAAAAGCTAAAATGAGAAGCGAGTTCCAACTCCTGAAATAGGGCTCAATGGACTGGTTCCAGGAAGTCTCTATTGCCCCCTCAAGACAATATGCTTACCCAGCCCACTTTAATAAAAAACTCAGGGTTCCACCCTCACGTTTTAGTTCTATGATTGATAACTTTAGGACCAGTAGAGTTGTCTGTCCTAAATCTCCACTTAGAGAATAGCACAAGCTCTGGAGAGCAACTTAGTCAACACTGGGACCCTCAGGAGGCAACTGCTTGTCAACCACCCCTTACACTAGAGCTTCCCAATTCTCGGAAGTGCACAGCAGTGTACTAGGCCAAGACCAATCCTCTCAACACAATGTTAGGGAGGCTCTGCCTTGGACAGAGGGCAAGAGCCTAACTGCTGCTGCTTACTGCAGATCTGAGAGTTCTGTGGTTTTGATGCAAAAACTGAAGTGTACTGTCAACTTTTCCCCTCATAATTCTCTACGGTGGAAGGACACAGGCTGAACTCCAGCTCCTTGGGAGCCAGGACAGTGACCGTCACTTTGCATCTCCAGTGCCTGTCACGCTGGCGCTCATGAAGTATTCACTACTTCTGAATGAATGCTGGTGAGATACTGAGCAATTTGTCCAAAGTCATGCACGTAGTCTCTGGTTCTCTTCAATGTCTAGCACTTTGCTTTAGAGCAGACTGGCAATGAACCTTCTTCCCATCCACAAGTATGAAAGACAGAAGATACCCAGTTCAGGGCATGTTTGTAGATAGACGTCTCATAGATTTATTTCTGTGTTATGTTATATATATATAGATATATATATATAAAGATATATATACTTTTATTTTTTTTAATACAATCTATATCCTCTTTCCTTCCTCACAAAACTCACAAAAGGAAGTATAAATCCTTCCAGAATTGCCATCAGGCTTTCTAAGATAGCCAGGGCCAAGAAAGAACCATCTCTCAACATCTCAAGAAACAGCTGCCCTGGGGTCATTGAAGCAGCAGCATTCCCAGGACCCACGGGGAGGTGAAAAGAAAGGAAATGACTGTAGTGTGACAGAATTCTAGGATGAAAGTGTCCAGTGACTCCTAGAATGGCAGACTGACTCCCAGAACTCTCAGGGTGGGAACAAAGGTGGGAGCCCTGTGGCTCTGTGATGCTGCCCAAATAGGCTGGGGGTAGGCAGCAGGAACTGGGGATTAGTCATGCAAGAGTAGGGAGGTAGGACAAGGAACACACGTGGGTTATACTGGAGACACAGCAGCCCCACCTACTCAATGACATAATAAACAAGGACAGGTGCTGTCTCTGAAAAATATAGGAGAGAGAGCATGGTAGGGAAGGTGAGGGAGATAATGGGACACATAAGAAAGTCACATAAAACAAAAAGTACCAACAAAAACATGACTTGTACTTGCCTCCTCCCTAGAGAAGGTGTGATCTTTGCTTGGGGGTGGGGGAGAGAAGAAGAGAGGTGAAAGGTCATGAACCTAGGATTATCAGCTGGCCAGGGGCACAGGAAGGCTCTTTGAGGACTCCTAAGGGGCAGGCAGGCAGCTGGGACCCCATATCCCCAGGGGGAAAAAAACGACAATCCCTTCAGTTCGACTTGGACCAAATCTTGGCGCTCCCTCGGAGCCTGGCAAGGAGAAGAGAGAGAGAGAAGCTGCAAGGAATCCCCTAATCCCTGAGGGTTCCCCCCATTCCCTACCCACTGCAAATGACTAAAGGGAGTGAGGGCAGCCAGATCTCTGAAGGGAAAGCAGGGCACCCGGGAGGCGAGCAATTCCTGCCGCACTGGCTCACCCCTTGCCCTTTGAGGCTTTCTTGCTGGGTTGGCGCTGGTTGGTGCCAGCAGCTGGTTCCCTCAGTTCAGTCAGGTGTTGCTCAGGGTCCTGAGATGTGGCTGCGGCTGCTGCTGCCGTTGTAACTTTAATTGTTTTTTTAAGGTTGGCGACCTACCAGGATGAAAAGAGTGGGGGATAACAAGGAAGGTTCCAGAACCTGACCGTCCTGCCCACCTTGTCTGTCCAAACCCCTCTGCACTGACCCCACAACTGGCCCAGGCTGGAGGAACTTGGGTCTGTCTGGCTTCCCTGCTAGCTCACCTCACTCTCAATCTGCTGCTTCAGGCCCAGTTGCTGCTCCTTGTGCTGGTTGGCACGGCTCACCTGCTCCTCGATGCCTGACAGCACTACTTCACAGCCCACACACCTGCGGGAACCAGAGAGCAGTGTCAGCAGAAGAGAGCCGTGGTCACAGGCTCACAGAAAGAACCCTAGCTCCTGATATGCAAACCCTTGTCTGAGTTAGGAACCCTCACCAGAGCATCTGGAAACCACCTGTAACAATATTCCCAGGAGCCAGAAGGACACTCAGGTAGGGTAAGAGAGGTATAAGGAAGTGACTAGAGTGATGTGCAAGACGAGAGTAGGAACTAAAACCAAAATGGGACAGGGGACGCTAAAGAGAAAAAAAAGTGTATTGATTAACTGAAGTTAGACAAGGATACAAAGAGAAAAGAAGTGGAAGCGGCCCAGGGCCTATGGACAGTACTGGTTATAGACTAATGGGATGAATCCAGCCTAAGACAGGTAACCAACCCCCCCAGTGAGGATCCTCCCTAGAGCACAACTCACCTTTCCTTCCCCCAATTACTATACTAAGGACACCATCTCTCTTCTCTTCCCTCCCAAGCCCTTCCACTCGTCTTCCCTCAGAAGCCTTTGGAGGAACAAGCTCATTTCTCTTAATCCTCCTGGATTCCACCTCTGCAGCCCAGCCCTCATCCCCCGAAGCACCGAAGCACCTCTCCCTTTCTCAGGGTGAAAGAGAAGGGACAGTGCCAGGACACACGTCTCACCACTCCTGTAGGGTTCGGGCAATGGCACTGAGGTCCTGGCGCTGGATGTCCCGCCCAATGCTGTAGTCAACCTCTAACCGCTGATTGCGCTGGTCCAGGGAGCCGCGAAGCACATCGGCATACACGGCCTCAATGACAAGGTCTTCCAGCTGCCGCACGTTACGCAGGGCAAGGGCCTCCAGCAACACTGCATAGGGGATACACTGGGGCCCAAGGAGGTCAGACTGGGATTTGTGAGGTTCTGCTACAGAGAAGGTCTTCCAAGATACTTCTTCCCTCCTTTCTGCTGCCTAGATTCACCTGCCTACCCTCCACTCCTATTCCTAAATCAATTCCTCTAAAAGGTTGGTTCTAAAGCAAAATAAATAAAAGTATTAAAGCCTGAAAAATAACAGCATGAGAAGGACAATCTTTTTTTTTTTATCCTCACCTGAGGACATTTTTGCATTTATCTTCAGATAGAGTGGGAGGGAGAGAGGGGGGAAGAGAGAGAGAGAAACATCGATGTGAGAGAGACACATCAAGTGGTTGCCACCCACACGACCCCAAACGGGGCAGGGACAAACTGCAACCAAGGTACATGCCCTTACAGGAACCAAACCCGGGACTCTGGTCTGCGGGCCGATGCTCTAACCGCTGAGCCAAACTGGCCAGGGCGAGGACAATCTTAAATAAAATATAAGATGTATGCTCTCCCACCACCCTTACCTCTCACATAACCAAGGAAGAAGAAAGCAATACCTGCCTGGGTGTCAGCCCTCTAGCCCCAGCTCAGGGTAGCGCACAGACCTTGCCAAGATCAGCCTGACATAATGGGAGTATGTGGTGTGGGAGAGGTCTGGATTTACTGTTTACCATTTATACTGTGTACTTCCAAAGAGGCTTCTCACAACAGACAGCCTGATTTACGTAAAATCATTAGAATGATGGGAGAGGCTAGTAAAGATTGGCAGAGTGCAAATGGACGGGAGGGGGATATCTAACAAAAAACAAACCTAACAGGAAATACAGAAATACTTCTGGGTTATATATTTCTTATTCTAGCAAATAGAAGCCTAGCACTTCACCAGCAAAGATAGCCTTGTTCCCAGCTCTGAGCACTGAGGCTGCTTGCACAGGACGTTCTATAGTGGGGAGGAGGGTGGTAGTTGTAAAATGGTGACTAGCTATTTTGACCCCAAACACAAAAGATGTTTTGCTTAGAACTTAAGTTGATGGAAATATCAAAATTAAACAGAAAACTAGCCCTGGCCGGTTTGGTTCAGCAGTTGGAGCATCAGCCTGTGGACCAGAGTCTGGGTTCGGTTCCTGCTAGGGGCATGTACTAAAATAAATAAATAAATTAATTAATTAAAAAAAAAGAAAACGAAAAGAATAATACTCGGCCTAAAAGGCTGCAGGTGATGGATTTCAGATACAGATCTTGGAGGCGTGTGGAGGGGAGGCAGGAAAAAGCAACAGTGTATCAAAGGCGGTCCCAGTACAAATTCCCTTCAGATGGGCCCTTGTGAAGGGACACACGAAAGGACGGGGAGACTGTCACTCACCTTGACTTTGGCAGCTAGGGTGACGACTGATAAGTGTCGAAGCTTATTCTTCTGAGCCTCTGTGAGTGGGGGAAGATTCCGGGCTTCAGCTGGAAAAAAGGACAAAGTGTAGAAGGCCTAGCCTCTGTCCCTTGCTTTTTTTCCCCAAGTTTTCCAAGCTGATTCAGGTCTTGATCCTGACCCTGTTGTGTACCTAAGAGATCTAACTAAGTAGGATATCCCAGGAACTTCTTCTAAGTCCCTCCAGAAATTGCCCTTTTCCCACCTCCACCTCCACTACTCCTACTCCAGAGTTCCAGCCCCTATGGTTACCTAAGTAGTCAGCATATGTCCCGTAAGCAAACACCGTGAGCAGGCGGAATGTGGAAGCGAAGTCACTCTCAGCCAGCTGCAAGAATATGAGGAAGAGATGACAGAAAGGGCCTCTATCCACCCTCCTCCCAGACTTACCATTTTGAATCCCCCTTTCTGGCCCCATCATTCCCCTCCATTAGCTCTCACAGCTCACTGAAAGGAACTCTACCTCTCTGATCACTCCACCTATAGGAAGGCCTCATTTCTACCTCCAGGCCTTTGTTTTGTTTTAAATCCTCACCTGAGGATATTTTTCCATTTATCTTCAGATAGACTGGGTGGGAGGAAGAGAGACAGAGAGAAATATCTACATGAGAGACACAATGCTTGGTTGCCTCCCGCACAACCCCGACCAGGGCCAGGGTCGAACTGCAACTGATACCCTTGATCAGAATCGAACCCAAGACCCTTTGGTTCACAGGCCAACGCTCTAACCGCTGAGCCAAACTGGCCAGGGCCAGGTCTTTGTTTATACTATTCCCCCCAATCACAATGCCCTCTTCCTCCATAAGTCTCCAACTCCTACCCTAAATTCAGAGTTGAAAACACTCAGTGTTCAGTATCAAACACACACACACCACACCAAACATTGCAAATGGTGTTTTTTATTTGTAAATTTAGAGTGTGTTTAATATTTGTAAATTTGACTATCTTTAGGCAGTCTGCCATACTCCCCAATTCACCAGACTCCTGCTTCAGCCTCACTCATCTCTGACAGCTGCATGGCCTAGGCAGTCATTGGCATTCGTGGCCTCTGGTTCAGACCTGCCTCACTCAGGGCTTTCATCACTCGGGCCAGCCCACCCAGATCTCTTCTCACCTTATCACCGATCACTCATTCTGGCACTTAATCAAACCCTGCCTAAGGTTGTTACCAAACAATATGTTTCTTTCAACAAGACTACATACCCACTCTCTGGTAACCCTCTTAGGTCAAGCAGAGCTAAGCAGGCTCTCTCAAGAAATCTTGCTAAATAAATGATTTACACATGTATATCCATTCATCTGATCTCTGTAACTAAAATGTAAACTTCAGAAGCATTGCTGTTTTTTACTTTTCTGGCATTCTCAGCCAACTAACAGAGTGCTAAACAGGCATCCACTAATTTTTTTTCTTCACCTTGACTGACTCTCTTTAGTTCCACTGCAGTGGAAAGCAGGGAAAGAAGGCAGCCAGTTTTCTCCATACCGCAGAGTAATCCCAAAAGGCTAAATCCACTGACTCAATCACTGTCCGTCATCAACTTAATTCATACTTTGCCAACATACCACTGTTATAGCATCTCAGGACTTAGGCTGGCGTCATACATCTTGGCAACCTACCTACTCTGGACTGTAAACTCTTTTAACTCTACCAACTCTGCGTGAATAGTTCGACTTTACACTTTCCCACAATCTCACCTCACTTCTACAGCAACAGTGAAGAGTAGTATCAGTTCTTTTTATTTTAGCTTTTTCCCCATTTGTTGGTGTATTTATTTATGCATTCCTTGGCTGTTCTGACCAGGAATTGAACCTACAGCATTGGTGTATTGGAACAAGTTCTAACCAACTGAGCTACCCAGCCAGGGCACAGCTCTTTTTATTTATTTATTTTTATTTTTTATCCTCACCGAGGACATTTTTCCATTTTTTGTTCAGATAGAGTGGGAGGGAGAGAGAGGAAGAGAGAGAGAGAGAAACATTGACGTGAAAGGGACACATCGAGTGGCTGCCTCTTGCATGACCCAACCAGGGCCGGGAACAAACCACAACCGAGGTACGTGCCCTTAGTGGGAACCGAACCCGGGTCTCTCTGGACCGCAGGATGACGCTCTAACCGCTGAGCCAAACCGGACAGGGCGGCACAGCTCTTTTTAAAAGAGAACACTAAGGACCTAAAATAAAAGTGACCTTATCAAGATGACATGATTATTAAGAGCTATTACACTGGTGGAGACAGGCTGGAATCAAGTCTCCTATTCTGAATCACATGCTCTTTTGCTTAAAAATGAAAAATACTGCCCTGGCTGGTTTGGCTCAGAGATTAGAGCGTCAGCCTGCGGTCCAGAGAGACCTGGGTTCGGTTCCCATAAGGGCATGTACCTCGGTTGCAGTTTGTCCCTGGCCCTGGTTGGGTCATGCGGGTGGCAACCACTCAATGTGTCCCTTTCACGTCGCTGTTTCTCTCTCTGTCTCTCCCTCCCACTCTATCTGAACGAAAAAGAAAAAGAAAAATACTGCCCTGGCTCGTTTGGCTCAGCAGTTAGAGTGTCAGCCCACAGACTAAAGGGTCACGGGTTCAATTCCCAGTCAAGGGCACGTACTTGGGTACCTGGGTTGCAGGTTCTATCTTGGCTGGGTTGAAGTCGTGCAGGAGACAAAAGATCGATGTGTCTCTCTCACACCGGTATTTCTTTCTTTCTCTCTCCTTCCCTTCCATTCTGTTTAAAAATCCATGAAAAAATATCCTCAAGTGAGGATTAACAAAAAAAAAAAGAAAAGTACTGGGTTTCACAGATCATTCATCCTCAAAGGGAAACAAAGAAGTTTATTTCTGTACTTACTCTTGCCCAGATGCCAGTTAACCATCATCCTATTCTTGTTCAACTGAATGGTTATGGGGTTGCAAAATGAGCCCTGCCCACCCAGTCTCAAATTCAAATGTTAGCCCCAAGCTTCCCGGTGAGCTATCCAGGCCAGGAACCCACCTCTCTAACATTAGGCATATCCAGCAGTTCTCCAAACACGTAGACACCAGGGGCCTCCAGCACCTGGTGGATGAGTGTGGCCAGCGCTGCCCCCTTGGCCGACTTGGCCAGGAGCAGAAATTGCTCCTGGTTCTGCCCTGTCACCTTCACCTCGGCACTCATGGCTGCACTGAGCTGGGGGGACCTGGGCTCAGGATATCTGGAGCTGCAAGGAAAGAGGATGTGAAGCTGGAGGTCCCTGGACACCGGAAGGACAAGAAGCACAAATGTAGGGGTGATCGCAGAGCATTGAGTCACTTCTGCAATGAGGAATCAGAGATGGAGCAATCTAAAACTTGGATCTCGGAATCCTAAAACCCCTCACACCTTGAAGGACTCCTGGCTGAAACAAGGTTGCCATGCTGTCTCCCTCCCATCCCCGGGTCACCACGTGCACCCCACTGAACCCCAGGCACAGGATGCAGTGGGGGAAGGGGTGTCACTTGGAGTCTAACCCAACGACACCGCTCCTCTAATCTCCACTTGTGCCCGCCTGTGCCCCCAGCCACGTGACCTCACCCTCAGGCTCCTTCCACGTGGCTCCGCCCCCTCCCTTAAAGAGGCCGCCCAGAGACCGTGGGCTCCCGCAGACTGCCGCGCCGTACTCTGGATTAGACTCTGCGGGCCGCTACCTGGAAGCTTCGTCTTCCAGATCACCGGGCGGGGCCGCCGCTCCGTCACCTCCGGCAGCTGTTCCGAGTCTTTCCAGCCACCTCTCTGAAAGGTCGCTCTGGCTGCTAAACTCTATGGCTAACTTCCGGACGTACTTCCGCTCTTGTTAGGCGGGATTTAGGGCGGGACATGTCCCCCTCCCGCCTTCCAACTGCTGAAGTTCCTGTGAGCGACATAAGCATTCTACCCTCCGATTGGCTAGTGAGGAAAGACTGACGGGCACCTTTCTGCTTTGTTTTGTTTCGTTTTGTTTTTGTTGTTGTTAATCATCACCTGGGGCGGAGGGAGAAAGAGAGATAGATGTGAAAGAGACACATCTACTGGTTGTTGCTTCCCGCAGGACCCGCTCCAGGGCAGGTGACAGAACCTGAAACCCAGGTGCACTCCTTCACTAGGAATGGAAGCTGCGATGCCAACGAAGCTCTAACCACGGAGCCAAACGGGCCAGGCCTCTGCTTTGTCTTAATACAACTTTATTGTTGGTCAGAGGTAGACGCTAAATGCAGAGGGGGTTCTGGTCTCAGGCAGGCAACAGGCGGTTGTGTTTAAAATGTCATGACTAGCCCAGCTGGTGTGGCTCAGTGGTTGAGCATGGACCCATGCACCAAGAGGTCGCTGGTTCGGTTCCCCGTCAGGGCATATACCCAGGTTGTGGGCCAAATCCCTAGTGGGGGGCTTGCAGGAGGCGGCCAATCAGTGTTCTCTCTCATTCATGTTTCTCTCCCTTCCTTTCAATAAAAGAAAAAAAAATCAATAGAAAAAAGAAAAGAAATCAATAAAAGAAAAAAAAAATTTTTAATAATAAAATGTCATGATCAGGTCCTGGCCGGTTTTGCTCAGTGGTTAGAGCAAGGTCCAGGGGACTGAAGGGTCCCAGTTTGATTTGGCAACTTGGGGGAGGCCCTCTCTGGCACCAATCTCTCACGTAGATGTTTCTCTGTCACTCTCCCTCCTTCTCATCCTCCCATCCACTCTCTCTAAAAAGTAATCAATGGAAAAAAATATATACTCTGGTGAATATTAACAAAAAAATAATAAATAATAAAATAAAATGTCATGATCAGCCTTGGCCGGGTAGCTCAGTTGATACTCAGGGCACTTATGGGAGGCAACCAATATCAATGTTTTTCTCTCTCTCCCTCCCTTTTTCTCTCTCTAAAAATCAATAAAAATGTATCTTCGGGTGAGGATTTTTTTTAAAAATATGTCATTCCTGGCAGGTGTGGCTCACTGGTTGATTGTGGACCCATGCACTAAGAGGTTGCCAGTTTGATTCCCAGTCAGGGCACATGCACAGGTTGTGGGCCCCACCCCAGTGGGGGGCATGCAGGAGACGGCCAATCGATGTTCTCTCTCATCAATGTTTCCATCTCTCTCTCCCTCTCCCTTCCTCTCTCTCTAAAATCAATTTAAAAATATTTTTTAAATGTATGTCATGTCTGGCTGGTGTGGCTCAGTGGCTGAGCATGACCCATGCACCAAGAGGTTGCTGGTTCGATTCCTGGTCAGGACACATGCCCAGGTTGTGGGCCAAATCCCCAGTGGGGGGCATGCAGGAGACGGCCAATCGATGCTCTCTCTCATCGATGTTTCCATCTCTCTCTCCCTCTCCCTTCCTCTTTCTAAAATCAATAAAGAAAAAAAAAAATGTATATCATGATCAAGATTGCGGGTTCGATCCCCATCAGGGCACATACAAGAATCAACCAATGAATGCATAAATAAGTGGAACAACAAATCAATGTGTTTCTCTGTCTCTCAAATCAATTTTTAAAGAATTTAAATGTCATAATAGATCCATGAACAGAAGCAACAAGTCCAGTTAGGAGGCTACTGCAATTAGGTGATGGTGGTGGCTTGGTGGCTGTGGAGGTGAGAAGTAGTTTTGGGTTCTGAGTTTAATTTAAAGCTAGAGTGAATAGCCCTGGCCGGTTTCTCAGTGGTTAGAGCATCAGCCTGCGGTCCAGAGAGACCTGGGTTCGGTTTCCACTAGGGTTGCGTGCCTCGGTTGCAGTTTGTCCCAGCCCTGGTTGGTCGTGCGGGTGGCAGCCACTTGATGTGTCCCTTTCACGTCGATGTTTCTCTCTCTCTCTCTCTCTTCCTCTCTCTCTCTCCCACTCTATCTGAACAACAACAACAACAAAAAGAAAAATGTCCTTGAGTGAGGATAAAAATAAAAAAATAAAATAAATAAAGCTAGAGTGAATAGAATTTGCAAATGGTTTAGATGTGAGGTGTGAGATGAAGAGAAAATGTTAAGAATGACATCATTCAGACAAGTTGCATCAAACTTTCAAAGTGCAGATCATTTAAATCCTGTATGAACTTTTCAAATAATAGGAAAAGAAAGGACACCTCTCAACTCATTCTGTGGTGACAGAATTACCTTGATAGCCCAACCAGAAAAGGGCAATACTAGAAAGGAAAATTACAGGCCAATCTCACTTAACAAAGATACAAAAATCTTCAATAAAACACTAGCAAACTGAATCCAGCAATGTGCAAAAAAGATCAAAATCTAAGACTAACTTGAATTTATGTCAGAAATTTAAGGGAAGCTTGATTAGAAAATGCATTCTCTTTATTCATCATATTAATAGATTAAAGGAATAAACTACACTATCATCTTAATAAATACAGGAAAAGCACATGATGAACTCAACATCCATTTGTGATTTAAAAATCTTTTAAAAAACTAGAAGGGAACTTGTTAATTTTATAAAAGAATGTCTGGTATCACCAATTCTATTCTGTCTTGTAATGGGGATCCTAGCCAGAGCAGTCAGACAGGGGGAAAAATTTTTACATAAAAAGATAAACAGCCTAGCTGGTGTGGCTCAGTGGATTGAGCATCTTCATCCCATGAACTGAGAGGTCCCAATTCGATTCCAGGTTGAGGGCTTGATCCCCAGTGAGGGGTGTGCAAGAGGCAACTGATCAATGTTTCTCTCTCACATCGATGTTTCTATCTCTCTCTCCCTTCTTTTCTCTCTAAAGAATCAATAAAAACATTAAAAAATAAATAAACAAAGACATGACCATCTACAAAATATGTAAAAATGTGATAGCAAATGTAAAAAATTTTTATTTTTTTTATTTTTTTATTTTTTTTTTAAAATCTACAAATAATTAGACTAAGTTTAACAAGGCTGCTTGATAAAAAACACACAAAATTATATATATGTACACACACACACACACACACACATATATATATAACAATTAGATGAATAATTTAAAAAGTTACTACGTGTGCCCTGGCCAATTTGGCTCAGTGGTTAGAGCATCAGCCTGTGGACCAAAGAGTTGTGGGTTCGATTCTGGTCAAGGCACACACTTCGGTTGCAGTTTGGTCCCCAGCCCTGGTCATGGTCATGTGGGAGCCAACCATTCAATGTGTCTCTTTCACATCAATGTTTCTCTCTCTCTCTCTCTCCCTCTCTCTCTCCCTCCCACTCTATCTGAGGATAAATGGGAAAAATATCCTCAAGTGAGAATTTTAAAAAAAAGTTACTACTTGCCATAGTATGAAAAATATCAAATACAAAGGTGTAAATGTAACAAAATATGTGCAAGACCTGTATGCAGCAAATCATAATTTACTGTGAGACACTGAAGACCTAACATAAATGAGAGATATTATGTTCATAGACTAAAAGTCCCAATATCAATAGGAAGTCAATTCTCCCTAAAGTGATTTATAGATTCATCACCCTCCTAATCAAAATGCCAACAGGGCCCTGACCAGTTTGGCTCAGCAGTTAGAGCCTAGGTCCTTGGACCAAAGTGTCTCGGGTTTGATTCCTGGTTAAGGGCACGTACCTGGGTTGCAGGTTTGATCCCAGACCCTGGGTCGGGGTTGCGCGAGAGGCAACCAATCAATGTGTCTCTCTCACATCGATGTCTCTCTCTCTCTCTCTCTCTCTCTCTCTCCCCCTCCCCCTCCCTCCCTCCCTCCACTCCACTCTATCTAAAAATCAATGGAAAAATATCCTCAGGTGAGGATTAACAACAAATAAATAAATAAAAATAAGTAAATACAGCCCTGGCCGGTTTGGCTCAGTGGTTAGAGCATCCACCTGAGGTCCAGAGAGACCAGGGTTCAGCCCCTGCTAAGGGCGTGTACCTTGGTTGCAGTTTTCCCCGGCCCTGGTTGGGTTGTGCGGGTGTTAACCACTCAATGTGTCCCTTTCATGCCGATTTTCTCTCTCTCTCTCTCTCTCTCTCTCTCTCTCTCTCTCTCTCTCCCTCCCTCCCTCCCTCCCTCCCTCCCTCCCTCTCTATCTGAACAAAAAATGGAAAAATGTCCTCGGGTGAGGCTAAAAAAATAAGTAAATACAAACATTTTTTGAAAGGCTTTTATTTATTTATTTAATTTATTTATTTATTTTTGTTATAGATGTTTCTCCTTTTCCCTCCACTGATTCCTCCCTTCCCTTCCCTCCCCAAAACAAACATTTTTAAAAAAAATTATAAATGTGAACTAAAGATCTGAGGAAATCCACAAAGTCCACAGACATGAAAAGGTGCTCAACCTCATTAGTGAAACGCAAATTAAATCGATAATTAAATACCACTGGATGCCCCAGAACAGCCTAAAGTCTGAAAATATTAAGTGTTGACAAGAATATGGAACAAGTGAAACTCTGATATATAATTAATAGGAGTACAAGTGGTTAAATCACTTTGGAAAAGAGTTTAGCATTATCTAATAAAATGGAAGATGCCCTATAACACAGCAGTTCCACTCCTATATAAATATATATGTAGTATTATTACATACATATATATATATCTTCAAAAGCAGACAAAAGAAACTATATTGTTAAAT